ATAATTGAAGTTTGCTTCGTCCAAGGCTCTAACAGCTGGCGTCAAGTGAAGATTCAGTGCTTCTTTTGTCTTTTTAGGAAGACATTATTAAAGTTGCACGTATAGTCCAGGAATCGTCTGAAAGATGTGGAAATCAGAAAAGCTTTGAATGCTTGTCAGTGCAATAGACAATGATGCATCTGTTCCTTTGTTTGGTGGAAAATCTTTACCACAGCCTCAGATCCTAACAGAGCATCAAATTGGAGTTCAGCCGATATAGACACTGATGTTCGAGTTTGTGTTTTATAAAGACATGTACCCTTTAACACACAGCCACAGTGATATACATATTTTCCATTAACTTCTAATTTTATGTTAAAATGGTTAAAGATCAGGATATTTGGCTAATAAATGTGTATCTTTTATGACATTTATCTTTTCGCTTTTGCAGCAGACATATACAAGCCTTTAGACGATGCTGTGTGTTTGTTTGGCTCAGTGTATCTTTATAGTATTTTGAATATCTACATTTCATAACTTCAAATGAGTCATGACATTCAGTTCTCAAATATAATACTGATAAATTGGAAGATAAATAAGTGTTTGTTTGCAGATGACACATGAATCAGTGCTCCCTCTCAACAGATTAACAGATGAAGGGACAAGAAAGGATCATTTATACTTTTGTAATTGCAAGTTTGAATCAAGATAAGATTAAACGATAGAGCAGAAATCACTAGAAATATTTTCCTCCCAAAATTTTGAATATCCAGTAGGGAAGCTTTCAAATGTGAGTCCTGAGAGTTAAAAAAAAGAAACAACCTATGAATAGTTACCATTAATTTGTGTATGATATAATTTTCAGGATCACTGAGCTTCCGTCTCATCCTTAATAGGCCAGACAATGGTTTGGGGTAATGCATGCTAGGAGGTCACAAAAACAAAAGACTCTGCTTATGCTGCAGGCAGAAACCTTTAGGCTGATCCTTTTTATAGGCTTCCTCACTTCAGTGCAGACAGCAAGAAAAATAACTGGGTTCAGGTTCTGGCAACAGGATGGACTTGATTTTAATCCAGAAACCCGCTGACATTGAGACGGTGTCCTTCAAATAATTATTTTAATCCGCTTTTTGTATTATTTTTTTTGTGACCGTGCAATAATCACATGAAGGAGAGTCTTTTAAGGCAGAGGAACACAATGACGTAGTGTTGTGCTTTCTTCCTTCTCCCCATCCTGGGCCAGTTCCCAAAGAGACCTCCCGCCCCCACCCCAACAACACCACCAGCACCACTCCAACCTGGAGCTACGCCAGACTGTGAATGAATGAGAAGGTCCTCACAGCCTACTATGTTTGTTTGATGTAGAGCACTGAGGTCTCTCTGTTTATGTGAAAGATCCTTGCGATTCACTAGGAAACATTCAAAATGAATAAAAATATAAGTAATCTTCTATATTAATACAGCCAGAGTAATAGTCTACCAGATTTAAAAACTGTATACTGGAATATATATACTTCATCAAATTATAATTCAGTAGTTGATCTGAGCTGGTGCCACATTTCTTATCATAAGGACTGAGCTATAAATACACAAATGAAACATAATGTATCAGAAAGTAATCATTAAGTATGCAAGCAAGAGGAGAAAAAGAAATTTAACAAAAGGGAAAGTAAACAGAAGGCCCAGCTACAAGCTGTTAATTCTGTGTTGATTCTGTGCTCTCCCCAGTGATGAGATTTGGTCACTGCCTAAGTACCATATTTGGGGAAGAGACTTAATGCATAAAGAAGATTAGAGTTAGTTGTTTAAGGGCTTGGAGCACAAGATTTACCATTATTACCAGTCCCAGTGAAAAAAGTGGGAGCCTGTCACAATCTGATGCAGACGCTAGCCAAGACGGAGAAATGTTAATTGAGCCAAGCCACACACCATATGGGAGGGATTATGATGTGTGTGGGTCATGAAGAGAATGACAAAGATTAGGTGGCCTTTGAGAGTGATAGATGATTGAGAGATTAACAATATAGAGCACAGATCGGGACTGTTGAAACCAGGAAGTCACACCGACTTCTTAGCCTTTTAAAGTTATGCAACGCCACGTTTATTATATTCTTTTAAAAATTTGAATATATATTCAAATTCAGAGTTGCTGCAGGCATTAAGTAAAACGACGAGTCCTTAGGGCTAAATTTTAAAAGCCATTTTTTGTGATGCAATCTTCTAACCCATGTGACTAACCAATGGGAGAAGAGCAAAGAGCCCGAAAGTATTAATTTGCAGCAAACACCGGCTCATTGTTCCAAAGTTACATCAGAGATCAAAGGAGGGATACTGAAGCAAGAGCTCTGTTTGTTTAATTACAGGCACAGAGGGAAATTGAAATTACTCTTCTTGTCAACCCTCAAAGGCTTAACAGACAGCTTTGGACTCAGATCCACATTCACAGATGTCACTGGCCATCAGTGCACACAAAGCTTAAAAAACCTTTGAGTATGAAAGGGTAGGGAGCAGCCAAATATTAAAAAAAAAAGGTTTTGCTGAACCTGCCCACTCTTTATTCTTTAGTGGTGTATCAATTTCACAGTGCTGTGTGCCAAGGAGAACATTATGCCAACAGTACACGCTTTCAGATGTAGCAGTAGGCCAACTTAATCACCCGTCTCTCCTTCTGTTCTTTGCTGTCAACATGGAAAGAAAAGAGAGAGAAAGAGACTCTGCCATTGGTCAACCAAAGTGGATTAACACAATTTTGATAAAAAAAAAAAATAATAATTTGAATAACCTACAGCTCGGTCCGTAGTACCCTCTCTTGGAGTAAGAAAAAAAATACAGTAATAAAAATTATAAGGTTATTGCACAAACATCACAATAGGCAAATAAAGTTGAATATGTCTTTTTTTTTTGACAATGCTTTGTACTCAGTGCATGCTAGGCAACTTAGTGGGCGACAGTTACATGATGGCAAGACGCAACAACAACTGCACTTTCAAAATTTGCTCCTAAAAACAACATATGTGATGTGCCTCGATCTCGTTTGGCTCTGTGGTATTTAACAGTAAATTGTGGTCAAGGGTATCAGGATTCAAAAGTGATTCAACTACAGTAACTGAGATATACATTTGCAATGAACAGACATCATTGCACAAATCTTGGCCGTAATTGAATTTGCCTTCTTTGTTCTTTTAAAGGAAGTGAAACAACATGCTGCACTCGCACTGAGAGAGATTAAGAATGCCTTGCATTACGAGAAACCACAAAACTATTTATATATTTTATGCATTCATTTAATTATTTAGATGCCATTCTATAGGGAAAATACATTTTAACAATTCCAATCAGTGTTGCACAGAAAGTATTGCCAATTTTTCAAGGCTCTAGCTTGAAATCCTTGATACATAATATTTTTTTTTACCCCAGTGGGAAATGAGATGCAACCCAGACTGCATAATAACTGGGTCAGCTATGGAAAAAGCTGATGAGCGCAGTGGCAGCCAACATGTTAACAGTTATTATATAAATATTTATGACATGGACACTTTTACCACTTACCAATTCTCAGGACTTGCTGCGAAGTGAGCCAAAACTCTGCCATAAAGTACAGCAGCGAAAATAACAGTCCCTTCCTTTTCACCATGGTCATTCCTCCAGAGCTGAATTTAACATTTATGGCAAATTTATTTTTCTTTTTTCCCCTTAGTAATTCATGCTGATAACCTGCCAGTCCTTGTATCCGTAACGAAAATAAACTGGCATCCGACCCATATCCATCCCTCACACATTGTGGTGAGAAAAAGAAACAACACAACCACACACTCCACTTGAAGTTGTCACTGATCAAAAGATTTGATCAGATTTTTCCATTCTAGGATCCTTTGTATGCCTGTAAGGTTTTGTTTCCCATATTCACTGTCCAGATAGCCTTCTTATCATGTTTTTCCCGGTGCACACTTGAATTGTAGGCTGCAACTGAGGAGGAGGACCGCACTGGGCTCCTGTTGTCAAGTAAGCAGCAATGGGAAACAGCTTCTGCTTACAAATTTCACAATAAAAGATGAAATGGAAATCAAATTGGACCCATACAGAAGATGAACAACATTCTTTTATTTAATTTAACAACGAATATAAATCAAATAATAATGTAACACATACATACATTTTTTACATACATAGCCATGAATGTCCCTCATTTTTATACTGAGCAAAGTGTGTTTTTATTTTCCCGAGGCTTTAATCACATTAATGTGTTGATGACTCATTTGGCATCCTCTGTCCGAAACACCTTTTATTTCAGTGCTTTAATTCTGAAATCAAGTTCGCCTCGTTTCCGCTGTCGCTCACTGTGTCATCGGCTCACTCGACACAGTTGAAGATCCTTCCCATACAGGCGCTCAATTGAGGGCACAGCCAAGCCGCTGATCCGCAAACATGGATACGTCCTGAAGATTAACTTCAAATCTGGCAACATTCGACCTCGACAAGATCTCTGCTTTGGTACACCGAGGAATGATTAAATCTTTGGTCCAGTCCTGATGGAAACGCAAATCTAATCTCCATACTGGTCGTTGACGCTCCCTTGAAGATTAACTACCTCAAACCGTTCAACTGCCACGGTCTTGTAGTTAAATAAAATGTGTTCAGGTTACCTTGATACTCTTTGCTTTATTCCTTGAAGAAGAGTGGCTTGAGATTTGAAGTGGCCATTCTGAACCAAGAATGTCTGATGGGTTTCTTGAGATTAGTGTAATTACTATATTTTTTATTATCAGGAAATTGGCTAAATTAGAGAGTGATATTTAAGCTGTTTTTTCCCACTCACAAAGTAAAAGCTCAATATCCTCAACTGTAAAGTACTCTTTAAAATTTATTTTCTAGTAAGTAAAATGTAATGAATTTATCACAGTGTCAAATAAAATAGTTTACGTACATCCAACAGCATACATGTTATGGACATATTTTAACATGAGACTTCCAAAACTGATGATCAAAAAAAATCCCTTGTTGTGGCTGAACATCTGAATGGAGAACAAAAAGATACTGTCGCTTGACCATGGATGGTTTTTGCTTTGCTTGAAGCTTAATCCTGGTTTTCTTTTTTTTTTTTTTTTGCGGTTCATCTGATTTGTTACCTAAGCATTTAATAGTATTGCACACCAAATACCTACCTTATTTTTTTTTTTTTTTTTTTTTTTTTTCCCCAATTTATATATTATGATATTTAGCTTCATAATATGTGTCTCTTCTTTATCTGGAGCTTGCCAACCTAAAAAACTGCACTGGAAAGATCTCTGGTGTCATCTAGTGGTGATATAATGTCAGTATCGAAAATTTGTTTATCAGATTTGCATTGTGAGGAGATTTTAATTGCCAGCATATATTTATAAAATATATAAGTATATACAGTACACAGTTTAACACATTTATTAGTCCACCACCTAATGCAAGGTTTATGCCAAAGATGCCCTAAATTAATAGTGCTGGTGATTAACAAAACAATTTCTTATGTTTCTGTAATGGTTAATCCACCACTGTGTGGAAGGTTTTTAATTAAGATCATATTTTAAAGCTAAAACACAACTATTTTTGTTTTATCACTAAATTTTAAAATTCACTGATTTACAAAAAAGTAAATAATGATAATAAAGCACATCGTTTTTTATTAGGATGTTTAGAAATGCAAATTATTTGCTTGCTTGTTTTAGTGGTTGACTGTTATGCTCGATTAATTTCTGATTTCTCAAATAAGTCCACTGTGCGGTTCACAAATTTGTGTGAACCACACTTGTCTTTAGTTTCAAACAATCTTTTGATACATATCTAAAATATTTAAAAATGTATATATATATATAATATGCATGTCAAATTCATTTTTAGCAACTTTAATTTCTCATTGTTTTAGATTTTAATGTGGTTTGAGTTTTTAGTTAAGTAGTTTAGTTTAGTAAAGCTTTAAAACAAGAAATTAGATCATTGCTTTTCTAAGAACATTTGCCTTTTTTTTTTTCTTTTACCATAAAAAATGTCTTCCATAATCAAACATGCTCAAAATGCAGAAAGAAGAATTCAACAGGCTTCCGGGACCTCACAGAGCATATACACTTAATCTACCCTCACTGCTATCTCTGGAAAAAAAAAAGGTTTTTCCTCTGGGAAATATTAACAGTTTATGCACACCTACAGAGTGAAGTGTTGTATTAAAAAAAGACAAACACCTGCCAGCTACTAACATTTGTAAATTAAAATGTGGTTTTAATGATCATTGCTAATCAAAATTACAGGCAAGCAATAATAATAACAAGTTATTTATATATCTGGCTGGTGGAAAACACATCATGATAGCAAAACACACACTAAGCCATCGTGATAACGATAACAATTTTAGAGGTCTTTGAACAAATGGCTGCAAAAGGTTGCAAAACATTAGGCTATAACTTTCCATCCTGGTGATTTCTACAGAGGTTAAATGGTTTACAAAGGCTCATCTTTGTGTATACTAATAACAATGGTTGTGTCCCATTTGATAAAAGCAGACATTTTTTCCACAATGCAAAACATTAAAAGCAGTTATTAACAGTACAAAAACTTTAAACACACCGTTCAGTATTATTCATTAGGATTAAACTCAGTTGTGGATTTTTCCTTATATGTATACACCACCTCTCATCTCACTGTAAGGCACTGATTCAGCTCTTGATTCTTTATATGTTATGAAAATAGGAGTCTGTGGAACTGGATGGAAGCTGGACTGGTAGGACGTGGTGGGAACATAAGTGAGTGAATACGGTATGGTGTTCTGACTCCGGTATAAGGAGTTCTCTGGAGCATACAAGTTTCCACTGTGGTTAGAGCTCTGCACTGAGGGGTGATGAGACATACTGCCTTGATATAGCAGTGATGCGTTTTCCTGAGGAGTCGGATTATAGACAACAGGTGGGTTTAATACTGTTCCATTATTTGTCCTTACTGGAATGACAGTTTGCAGTGGCATTGCAGCGTTTTGTCCAACGGAACCAGTCGATCGAAGGCTGGACAGGGGATGATAATTCATCAGAGCTGGCCTATTGGGCGTTGGCTTATAACTAAGTAAGTTTGGTGGTTGATACATATCAAACGAGCCTTTGCTTTTGGGCAAACGGCGGCAGACGAACAACAAGGATGAGGCGAAAAGCACAGCACCTGTCACCCATCCGATGTAAAGAGCCTCTCCTAGCTCTCTTCTCTGGGCATCAATCAGCAAAGGATTGTAAAAATCTGTAATGATAACGTGACCTGTCCACGACACGGGGATAAAGACACAGATACACGCCATGAACTGCATAACCCCTGCAACCATCAATATAATGGTCTTAGCCCAATCATTACCCTGAATACAGGACACACATCGCATTCCTGCCAGAGCCACAAGAAGCCCCACTGCTGACAAGGCCACAGCAGAGCACATCAGACCCCTGGCAGCCTGTAATTCAGGGGGCAGATACAGCAGGGAGTCATAAACCTTACATTGCATTCTGATGTTGGCTTGTCTGTAGCAGTTCATCCATAGGCCTTCCCAGCGGGTTTCCATCACAATTATGTTTTCTCCGATGAACGCGGTCACCTTCCACATGGGCAACCCCGTGGTAGCCGAGGCACCGATCAAGCCAACCAAGCCCACGCATACTGCAGCTAGCTCTGAAGCACCTTGAATCATGGTTCAATCTCCAAAACTCCCGTTGTGGTTAAATCCAGAATTAGAATGGCTCTCATCCACAACATTTTCTTGCTGTATGAGACAGTTTGTTATGGGTAAGATTTCCTGCATTCACCTGATTGGTTTAGAGGGATGAGGGTAGGAGGAGGTCTGCTTATGTTGTGTTTATGGTTCTCAGATGATAGGGGTCAGTCATTGCTTTCTCCAACAGTGTACACACAAAACAAGACAACACCAAGCACTATTTTTAATTTTAATTTTAATTATTTGCCATGTTTTCTTACTCTTTATATGCGGTACAACCCAGAAGCAAACATTAATATGTGGCACAGTTTAGTACAGCGCATGTAGTTCTTATATTGTCCACGGGGGGGCAGAGATGACCTTAGAGGATAGTGAAATGAGGGGGATCTCACATAACACAGGCCAAATACAGTTTGTTCTAGATAGTTACAATTTAGATGTCTAAGTTTAAATTATGTATAGAACTTGTCAACGTGTATTCATTATGGCTTCAGAAATTATTGCGTAAAACCTCAAGCAACAATAAACACTACATTGTCCTTACGTCACAAGTATTTGCGTTACCCAACAGCAGTGACATTACTGTTTTATTTTGAAGTTCAAGTTGTACAGTTTACATTTGAACTTACTAAAACTGAAAATAAGCGACCTGTTTGATTAAGAAGTCGTATTCTGTTGAACAGAGACAGAAATGTTTAACACAGTCTGCTTGGTTTTCTATTCAAAGTGACTTGCAAATTTGGATCATATGATTATGCCGTTGTCTCTCTGCTTTCTTTGTAACTATCTGGCTATGCTGCCACACCTTAAGCAAGTAGCCTTAATCCAGTATCTTGTTTTTATGTAACTATTTCCTCTTTACCCGGCCATCTTAAACAGATTCAGGATGTTTTTTTGGTTAAGCAAACACCATAAACATCCTAGTTTGGGAGGTATTTAGATAGATGGCATTTACTTTCCAGTGAAATTCTCATAATGAAAAAATGAAAACTATTTCTTCTTTTCATTTCACACATGTAGCGTTATGTGTTTGTTGGTCTCTTCTAGTACTACTTCTACACCTGCCATCGTTTAGTTTTTTCTTTTGATTTGAATACTAGTTGAAAGTGATTAGTAATGATTAACAAAAAAAAAAAAAGAAGAAACAGAAGACTGTGACAATGTGACAATGAGAGACTATTTGTGCCACAGAGATGAGTTTGAGCTGTTTCTTTTCTTTTCTTTTTTAGCAGCACAGCTCAG